CATCATATTTGTATTTTTTCATTTCAGCTTCTTTTTCTTGTACCACTGAAACTTCACAGAATAATTGCGTACATTTTGAAGTTGTGTACCTGCTTATATGAAATTGTTTGAGGAATTTCCCCCCATTTTTCCCTTAATTCTGATCTTGATGATTGTTTTCCAAAATTTTCAAAGATGGTACTGATTTTGTGTAATCAACTCCTGCAGTTTTCAATCTCAATCTTTTTAACTTCACACAATGATTGTACAAATATTTTAGTTGTCCACTTGGTACTATGGAATTGTTTGATAATATTTTTCCTGACTTGGGAACTAAGTAATTTTTCATCAAAGGTAAAATAAATAGTTTTTAACCCATATCTTTTGGAATTCACAGAGAGTTTGCAAATCTATAGAGGCTTTTACAAATTTTGGGACTATACATGACTACTATGTACATGAGTAGTAAACCTTGAAAATGAGATATTTTTTATTAAACTATGCTTCAAAATATTTAAAAAATGTTGATTTATATGTGTTTATTATACTATTACTACTCTGTACTTTTTTTCTTACATTTGTATAAGTTTTTTCATATCAGATGTCTGGTAACTTATATAAAAGCTATTATCTAGAGCTCTGTAAATAAAAAATGTAAACGTAGTTCTAAAATATACTTTTAATGAGTGGAAGAAATTGTGGGGTACAGAATACATTTCGTAAATTATCAAAATACAAGTTACCTGTTTAAAAGCATGTCTGGTATTTTTACAGTACTTTTTAAATGAATTTAATAAATTATTTGTATTTTAAATTGAGAATTTCTTCAGTTTCAATGATTGGAAAAATAATGTGAGATGCCTTGGAACATTCTGGTGACTATTGTACATTTTATAATGTACAATGGAAAGGACATTTCATTACTTAGATAAAATGGATTCAGTGGACTGATTAGCATAAAAAACTATGATGGAAAACCTTTGAAAGCAGCCAGGATAGCAGCTCCAAGGAAGATGGTCAAATAAATCTTCAACCAAGTCTGAGGCTTTACCAAGAAATTAAAAAGGCAAGTTTATTTAAGCCAAATATTTGTATACATTTTCTAGAAATATTCGACAAGAAGTGCATATTAAGACAACACGCCAGCACCCTTCTGATCTTCTGCATGCAAAACACCATTGATGTATTAATTTTAATAAGTTTTAAAATTTAAGTTACCATTTTCTTGAACAAGATTTTCGATCAAAATATTTAAAGCTTCAAGGGGAGACAAGTACAATTAACAGCAAGATTTGTTCTTTCAATGGGATATAACTGATAAATTTGCACATCACTTTTGTGCAGTTAAATTGCAAACAAAAACCTTTGACTTGTTTTATTTTTATTATGTCAAGTTTTCTGTTCAGTCAGGTTAATAGTTACTCCTTGCTATAGATCAATGACATTTTATATTTATTTGCATTACTAACAAATTATTGAATTAATTAGCAATGTTGCTAATCGTCAGATGTTTTTCATTTTCCGCTGCTAGGCGAGACATCTCTGTCAACAGTTTATCTTACAAACTTGTGTTGATACTATTGTGTACATTTTGTAAGAAATCAGAACATTATATAGTGACTTCATATTTATAGAGAAATGGATTTGTAAAATATATAATGTGTCTTTTTTAATTCTTTTTAGGTTCTTCTGTGATATGTTTTCATGGTGTGGGAATAAGACTTGGTGGTCTTAATACAGCTAATACGAAGGTATGTACCAGTATGTTAGTCCTGTTTTGAAAAAAGAAAAAGTATTATAAAATGTATTTGGAAATAGCATGTGCTCTAAGCGTGAAGGTTTGTAGGAGTTTTGTAAGAAGTCTTTGCTTTCTTTAATTGCCTTTAAAGGAGTAACTTTAATTATCTGATTTGATTATGTCAAAGTTTGTTGGGATGCTGGTTTGCTTCTATTACATATTTATAGACTTTTACTTTTATTATACCCCACGCAACGAGTTGCGGAGTGTATAATGTTTTTGACCCGTCCGTCCGTCCATCAGTCCGTCAGTCCTATTTCTTGTCATCGCAACTCCTCTCAAACCACACGACAGAATTTCACGAAACCTTTTTAGATAATAAGGACATACTATGTAGTTGTGCATATCGACAGGAGATTACGATTCAATTTTTTTCCTAGGAGTTACGCCCCTTTGAACTTATTTACTTTAATGTACTACTGCAACAGTTTGTCATCGCAACTCCTCTCAAACCACACAACAGAATTTCATGAAACCTTTTCAGATAATAAGGACATACTACGTAGATGTGCATATCAACAGGAAATTAAGATTCAATTTTTTTCCAGGAGTTACGCCCCTTTGAACTTATTTGCCCAATATACTACTGCAACCTTTTGTCATCGCAACTCCTCTCAAACCACACAACAGAATTTCATGAAACCTTTTCAGATAATAAGAACATACTACGTAGATGTGCAATTCGACAGGAAATTATGATTCAATTTTTTTTCCAGGAGTTACGCCCCTTTGAACTTATTTGCCCAATATACTACTGCAACCTTTTGTCATCGCAACTCCTCTCAAACCACACAACAGAATTTTATGAAACCTTTTCAGATAATAAGGACATACTATGTAGATGTGCATATCGTCAGGAAATTACGATTCAATTTTTTTCCCAGGAGTTACGCCCCTTTGAACTTATTTGCCCAATATACTACTGCGACCTTTTGTCATTGCAACTCCTCTCAAACCACACAACAGAATTTCATGAAACTGTGTAGATAATAAGGACATACTATGTAGATGTGCATATTGACAGGAAATTATGATTCAATTTTTTTTTCTGATACAATTTTTTTTTTCTTACACTTATTTTATTTCTCCAATGACAATGTGGGGACGTGGGGTATGTGAGTGCGCTCACTAAGGTTCTTTCATTTAATTTTCCACTGGACATTTAGCAACCAACAATCAAATGAATCAATCATTCAAAATATGGAATATACATACAGTATATCAAAAATGATCCTTTTAAACAATCTTGAATGACTAATCATTTTATTTTTCAGGTTAGCTTCACAGCTTGTCAGTATTAATTGAAGCTGGGAGTGGGCATTGGAGCTGACTTTAATGGTAAGAACCAATACAAAAAAAAAACAATATGTAAAAAAAGAAATATGTTAGACATCTACCATTGACTTGTTTTTCATCCTTTTCTGCTAATAAAGACTGGTAGTTCAAAAAATATATCAGCAAATCACTTTTAAACAAAGTAAGAGCAAGGTTTTATGAATCATGATTATAATGACCAGTTATTTATTATTTTGCATTTGATATTGTTTCAAATTTCAGATTTTGACAATTACGTTTAATTCTGTATATTTCTTTTTCAGGTAACTGTGGCTGCATAAAAGGGCTATGTGATTTTACTGTAACAGTAAAGAATGTAATTCAGACTATTTTTGTGTATGTTTGAGAAAATGTTTATAATTTTTACAAAAAGAAAAAAAAATTATGTACAGGTTCTCCATTTTCAACAAGATTGGAAGTTGTAGGTTAATAGGTCTTTGAAATTTCAAAAAATACTTTCTATTTTCTGTTCATACTCATGTCTAGGCAAAACACTTCCAGTAGTTTAAGAATGGAGAATCTAAAAAAAAGAAAAAGAAAAGAAAAGAAAAAAAAGAAAAAAATGTTCAATTATTGAAATGTTTTTTATTTTTGCAAATTGTAATATATTTTTTCACCTTTGTGTCATTTTTAGCCGAGTTTATAACAAAGGGTATATTATTTTAAGAATATTTTACAAGAAGCATAGTTGAAGAATATCTTGATGAAAGTAGATTGATTGATTTTTTGGTATTTAACACCACTTTCAGCATGATTTGCTATATCTTGGCTGCCAGTTTTTATTTGTGGAGACAGCCTGGTGAAAACATCCCCTTCAACAGAGAAACTGGCAACTCTAGTCAATTAAGATTGATGTTAAACACACCTACAATGTGAGGGTTCAGTGTTTTGACAGGCTAGTGATACAGTAGTTGAACTACTTTGACCATTCAGCCACCATTACTCCATCCACACTAAATATGTTATTGAAATGTGTTGAATTTTTGTAATTTAATTATTTTTTATTTTGATTACCGTATACTATTTATGTTTTTTTGTTATATATAACAAAGATGTGGAGTTCTAACAGGGTGAAATTTAGGTCAAAGGGAGGTAATTTATTATACGTTGTTTAACTTTAAATACTTGAAATTCCCTCAATGTTAGATTTTTATTTACTTGGATACTCACATTTATGCACTTTTTTACATATCAGATGTTTTCTAGATAATAGAAATTCAGGGTGGGAAAAATTATGTGTCACTTAAAATAATTACGATTTTTCAAAAAGTTTATTAATTGAAAGTGCATCTGATATTTTTTATGTATGTTACTTTATTTTCAAAAAACAAATGGACACAACATAGATTGACAATAAGATATTGAGAAGAACCACCTTATCAGCCAGGATAGCAGCTCTTAGGAAGATGGTCAATTAAATTTTCAACCAAGTCTGACTCTTTATCATGAAAATAGAAAAGGCAAGTTTATTTTAGCCAAATCTTTTAAGATAACAGACCCTTCTGAAATATTGCATTTAAAACACCATTGATGAATTAATTTACCAGTTAAGTATTTAAAGATACAAGATACATGAACAAGATTTTCTATTAAAATATCAATAGTAAATCCTAAAAATAGTCATTAAACTTCAAGATAAGACCAGTACAATTTAAGACACGATTTTGCATTCAATGGGAGATAACTTTGTAAAATATTCAGATATTTTTTGTGCAGTTAAATTTAAATCTGACGTTTTTTTACTTTTCTATCTTTTATATTGATTTAAAAAAAAAATGATTTTATACAATTGTCTACCTGCAATAAGAAATCAGAACAATATTTAGTAAATTTTAGGTTATCGGTAACACATAAATTGATTTACTAAATGTATAATGTGTTGATATAATTTCATTTCAGGTTCTTTCTGAGACATGTTTTCATGGTGTGGGAATAAGACTTGGTGGTCTTATACAGCTAATACAAAGGTATGTACCAGTATGTTAGTCCTGTTTTGGAAAACTCAAATGTATTATAAATATTTTATGGAAAAACAAGATTTGAACACTTAAAAGATGTTTTACAGGAATCCACTCTTATTATTATATCAGTAACCAAATAAGAGTAAAGTTTAGGATCTGAATTGTTTACATAAAAATGTGTTGGCTTGTTGGATTGCTGTCTCATCCATATGTTCTTGACATATATAACACATTTTAAGACTATTTCTATTTAATGATTTGCCACTGGACCTTAAGCAACCAACAACCAATCATTCAATCTATTCAATATACATACATAATACCAACAAAGAACCTTTTAAATAGTTTTATACGCCCGTTTACGGGACGTATTATGGTATACCGTTGTCCGTCCATCCGTCCGTCGTCAACATGTCGGACATTAACTCAAAAACGCTTTAACCAATTTGCATAAAACTCTGATGAATTGTTTATATCTATTGACGTGAGCTCCCTTTCGTTTTTTATAAATTTTCGATTTTATGTTTCCTAGTTATGGGGTTTTATTCATTAAAAAAGGGGGGTTTTCCAGTTTTCGGACAATAACTCAAGAATGCTTTCACCAACTTGCAAGAAATTGTGGTGAATTGTTTATATCTATTGACATGAGCTCCCTTTCGATTTTTATAAATTTTAGATTTTACATTTCTAAGTTACAGGGTTTTATTAATGAATTATCATTTTATATTTCAGGTTAGCATCACAGCTTGTCTGTAAGGATTGAAGCTGGGAGTGGGCATTGGAGCTGACTTTTATGGTAAGAATCAATACATAGATTTATGAACTTTTCATCCAAGAGCATTTTAAAGCCCAAGATTTTTGTTAGGCACAAATGTAAATCTTGCATATTAATGTCTTCTTTACTTATAGTTGAATAAACAATTTAGAAGGAGATGTAAAGATATATAAGGGAAGTCAAAAAGTGTAATGTATAATGCGAAATCTTGGGATTTCATTTTTTTTGTTATCTATAGTTGTCCCCATATATGAAAATATGTAAGTGTGGTATGTATGCCAATGAGACAGGTATCCACCAGAGACCAAATGATGTGGATGCAAAAAGTAAAATCACAAAAATACTGAACTCAGAGGAAAATTCAAGAAGGAAAGTCCCCAATCAAATGGCAAAATCAAAAAAACAAACACATCAAACGAATGGATAACAACTGTCACATTCCTGACTTGGTACAGGCATTTTCTTATGTAGAAAATGGTGGATTGAACCTGGTTTTATAGCTAGCTAAACCTCTCACTTGTATGACAGTTGCATCAAATTCCATTATATTGACAACGATGCATGAACAAAACAAACAGACACAGTAGGTAAAAATGTCAAAAATAGGGGTACAGCAGTCAACATTGTGTTATCATCTTAATCACTATAAAAACAAACAAATGTAACGAAAAAGCCCAAAAAGGCATACATCAAATTTAAAATCCTCATTTTGCTTATATTACTGTGGATTCATTTTTATTCGTGGTATACCAATTTTCGTGGGTTTCGTGGGTCACAGCGAACCACGAATTTAAGAATTCAACGAAGAATAATCCAGAGAAATATGTATGGAGTCGGATGTTTATTTCCGGTTATGTTATGCAGTTCTAGTATAGTGTTGACTAGAGATAAACATTGTAACATAACACATGTTTTTAATGAAAGAAGATACAAGTATTTTGATTCAATCAATAATAAATATATCGAATAGCAGTGATAATTTACTTTTTAAAATTGATTAAAACTGTTCATGGAAAAATAACTGCAAGTTGTTAATTACCATGTCATAGTTTGGTTTACTGGTGATTAAGAATCAATAGGATTAAGTACGGGGATATTGCCCGTAGGTAGTATACACCTTATCGCTATTCCCGCTTGACCCGAGAATCTGTCCCGCTAGAACTTTTGACGTCATACAACAATCACTTTTCCATTGTGGGGTCAGACATTTTCTATTATGACGTCAAAATTTTACGGGAACTTGTGTGATGTCCAGTAATGGCGGACAAATAGCGATAAGGTGTATTGTTTATGACAGGTGCATGTATTTTCACACCTTTTACTTTTATGACTGTTTATTATATCGTGATAAGGGAAATGAGCTTTCAATCATAGTGTTTTGAATGCCTTATAAAATTCCGACAAGAATTTATAAATTGTAAAACAAACAAATAATTAGTTGTCTCTGTCCATTATTGTAATAGAAGTTTTCAATGAACACTTTAACCTAGAATGACCAAGCGAGGATTTTGACAATTCAAAACTTTTTCAATGAATTCCTTCTTTTTTGTTTGTTTTATTATTGATCAAACCAAGGAGGTTATATGATCTAAATCAAAAAGAAATCCACAAATTACGTATTTGATTGATTTTTTTTTTGTAATCAGCGATCCACGAATTTACATATACCACGAAACGTCTTTTTTTCTCTATCCACGAAAATTGATACCCACGAAAATAAATGAATCCACAGTATACGATTTTATTTATCTATGTAAAATCCACCCATAAAGGATGGAAGGTTTGCAACTAAATGTCACCCTATGCCTTCAACAATGAGCAAAACCTATATTGTATAGTTAGCTATAAAGGTTCAACATGACTAAATGTTAAAAAATTCAATCAAGTATGTTAATAGCCTGATATACTATATATAGCTATAAAACAATGTTCAAAAGATAATTGTCAAGACATCAGCCAATGACTTGTTTTTCATCCTTTTATTGCTAAGAAATACTGGTACTTTAAAATTTATGTCAACAAATCACTTTATAACAAAGAAACAGAAATGTTCTATACATTATAATTGTAATGCTCAGTTAATTATAATTGTTTTGCATTAAATATTATTTCAATTTTCATGAGTAATGTATATTTCTTTTTCAGATAACTGTGGCTGCATAAAATGGTTGTGTGATATAACTGCAACAGTAAAGAATGTAATTCAGACTATTTTTGTGTATGCTTGAGAAAATGTTTATAATTTTTTTACAAAAAAAAAAAAAAATATGTAAAGATTCTCCATTTTCAACAAGATTGGAAGTTGTAGGTTAACTTGTATTTGACATTACAAAAATTCTTTCTATTTTCCGTTTATACTCATGTCTAGTCAAAACACTTCCAGCAGTTTAAGAATGGATAATCTAAAAGAAAAAGAAAGAAAAAAGAAAAAAAAAATGTTCAATTATTGAAATGTATTTTTTTTTTTTGGCAAATTGTAATGTATATATTTTTGCCATCTTTTTGTTATTTTAGGATTTGAGATACTTTCAAATTTTACAAGTTACTTTATACATGTAGTTAATGCAATTAAATCTGCCGATGTGAATATTCCCACTTAATTTCTTAGCAAAAATTTTAATTATTTTTGTTTTTTTTAGCAACGTTTCAAAATACCTTACCATAGCAAATGCCTCTCTAGTGTAAACTAAAAAGATGAATAATGGTCTGCAATAAATATATCCCCTAACAACCTTTTCTTTCATGTTAATTTTAATATCTTTAAGATATGTGACAAGGGTGCTCTAATGCAGAGGAATTTACGAAGTTAAAAAGTTAGAAATATATTTTTTGCACTTTTTTTGTCATTTTTAGCTGATTTTGGTTTGTAACCAAGGTGATATTTTTTAAAGAATAATTTTACAAAAGGCATAGTTGAAGAACATCTTGTTGAAATTGGATTGGTTGATTTTTGGTGTTAAACACCACTTTAACATGATTTACTATAATTTTGGCTGTAAATTTTTATTTGTGGAGACAGCCAGAGTGCCTGGCGAAAACATCACCTTCATCAGGGAAACGGTCAAACCCTAGTCAAATTAAGAATGAAGTTACATATTTCATGTGAGGGTTCTCAGTGTTGACAGGCTAGTGATACAGTAGTTGAACTACTTATAGGACCACCATAAGCCGATCAGTACGAAATATTTTATTGAAATGTGTTTAGATTTTTGTTATCAATTTTTTTTTTAATTTTAATTGTACTATTTTATTTATTTTGTTTAATATAACAAGGATGTGGAGTGCGAACAGGGTGAAATTTGGGTCAAAGGGAGGCAATTTGTAATACCCCTGTTTAACTCCACATACTTGAAATTCCCTCAATGTTAGGATTTTCATCTACTTGGATGTTCATGTTTGTACATTTTTTTTTAATATCAGATGTATACTAGCTAATATTGACTATTATTTAGAGCTCTGTAATAAAAAAAAATAAATGTAAGCAGAGCTCTAGATAATAAGTATGCAGGGTGGGAGAAATCTTGGGTCTTTAACAATTGATTTGCTGAAATTTTCAGAAAGGGGATTTATTGGAAATGCATCTGATATATTTAATGTATGAAACTATATTTAAAAAAAAAGATGTTAAGATGATGAGGAGAGCCACTTTGTCAGCCGGGAGAGCAGCTCTAAGGGAGATGGTCAATTTAATCTTCACCAAGTCTGAGGCTTTACCATGAAAAATATGTGGTAAGTTTATATATTCCACAAATTTTATGGTAATAATATATATATAGGCATTTAACATTATTTTTTAAGGGTTCTTTTCTATCAGTGTTTGATTTTTAGAGTATCTAGTCTTACATTTGTTTTCTGTCTGGTATCGAGTGAGCTGTGTTGGATAGAAACCAACTGTATGCAAGTTATTAAAGAATTTGTAAACTTATTTGGGTCGAACAAATTTTTATGCAAAGTCTGTAACTGTTTGAATATTGAATTGATATAGAATCATTTTCATAAAAGCGTGGACAACGATTTCTTGGCGCTCTTATGTTATCTATTGACTGGGTCAGATAAGGTGAAAGTTTGTCTGTAACGCCCACTTGTCACATTGAATGTGTTATAGACATTTAAACTGGGGTCGCCAAAGGTTCTAAATGCCTACATCAAATAGTACGAATTACTAGCAGAGGACTAAACCTTGTGTGTTGATTTAAATGTTGAATAATTATTTTCTTTTTTTCTTCTCTTGTGCCTACATGTACTTTGCTCTTTTATTCTATTTAAATCCCTATTGGAAGGCCTCTGACAGACTGAGTGAGCGTAAAATCACTGTTATCGATAGCCAATGGCAAACAAGTTAAAGGTACAGTAAATTCAGAAATTATTGCGTGCAATTATTAATAAATAAATTTGGTGTATTTACTGTCTTCTGATTGCATTGGTTAAAAGTATTACTTTTATTTTCAATGTCAATTTTTATGGCGACACGCCCACTCTGACGTATATTCATACTCCAACATCCGTGTACGTTTTTATGGTTAATATAAATAATATAAAAAGTTCTTTGAGCCTTATTTTTGATAGAAATTTATTTATAATGAATGGCTATAATTTATTTTGAATTTATTGAACCATAAAATTATGCTTCGCGGATTATTCAATGTGAAGAGTCAAAAATTAATTTTATGGTTCAATAAATTCAAAATAAATAATAACCATTCATTAATTGCGATTTTGTAATTTTAGACTAAAATGCGATTTTAATTTTTGCGATATTGAGAAAAATCCTGTTTAATTCATATAAAAAATTTCAAAATGCTAGTTTAAATTATTGCCAATACAACATTGTTGCATTTTTAGCAATAATAAAAACATTGCAATAGTTTCTGAATTTACAGTAATTGAGTTAGTATTATTACCAACATAAGTATTGGGGTTGTCTACGCTGTTATGAAAATGATTTTAAGAACCATCAAAAGAGAACAAAACCATCTGAGTTTGTAATTGAATATTCCAAAATCATTGTCTTATACATATACGTGCACTTGCACAAGGTCAATTTCTATCTCTAGCAGTTTTAAGTTTATATAGTGAAGATGATAATGTATAACAGGTTTTAATAAATGAAACATAGCATTATTTTGTTAGTCTTCTTTAAGAGACAGATTGATCTGTAAAACAAGTAATTATTTTTTAATTTTTTTAATTTTTAGGTTGTTATAATGATGATGTTTTCATGGTGTAGGGAGTAAGACTTGGATGTCTGATATTGTTAACATGTTGGTAGGTAATCAAGCATCTTTTTAGTAATATAATATTCGAAATCAATTTCATAAGGTTCTTTAGTACCAAAAAAATAATTTTACACTGATGAGATACCGGTTAAATTTTTTTGGTAAATATAAAACTGAGTATAATTCAGAATACCAAATATTTTTTCCATGATTTTTTGTTATCCTAGTGCAATTTTAAATTTAGTACATGTGTAATAATTTTTTTTAGGAAAGTTTAGTTTAACTGACTACTTTTATATTCCAGGTAAGCATCAGGTTTCCATTGGCTTACTTGCTGGGATAAAGCTGTTATAAGGTGAGAACTTATTCATCAACATACAACTTTAATGTGTTTATGTTATAGTGTGATGAATGTCACTAAGTAGATTTCAATATATATATTTTTTTTTAATTTACAATTAAAAAAAAATCAGTATTCAATCTTTTCATTTTAAAATAATGTACCCTTTAAAGCAGATACTAGATCTGAAGAAGATATATGAAGGGGAGATAACAATAAAATCGCATATTTTTGATACTGTATATTTTTGAGTAATCAATATAAGTAATAAACAAATTGTTTAACATACACTGATGTCTGTTTCTTTATTCCCGTTAGATTATTTTAAAATTAAGGATCAACAATTGAAATTTAACTTTGTTTCTTTTTCAGTCGAAAGAGTTGCTGTTGCTGCTTTCCTTGTATGGTAAAATCCTCAGACTACAATCCTGCAAACCATTGGATGAACTGTTGCTATCTTTTGTAAAAAAAATTCTTATAAGCAGAATGAATTATAAATGCAATTAATTTTTAATGCTTTATTATTCAAATTATAAATATTTATTTCATTATTTTTTCTTGCATTCAATTATTGTTTTGTGATTGAAGAAATATAAAAAAAACTCTGAAAGTATTGTTATTTGAGAGGTCCCAAAGGTATGATGTATGGTTTCACAAGATACCCATAAGACTTGCTTCAGTTTACATATATTTTTTTAAGTTATGTACACTGGTTAAGAATTATAAGTCCTTTGTGAAATGATTTTTTCTGGTTAGAAACCTATTAAGTAGTACTTTGATGGCCAAACACTTAAAGGGAATAAAACAAATCCCCTATTAAACAATTTTAAGTACTGAGTTTTTGGTGCAATATGAACTAGAAATAAAAATGTTTAGTTAGATGGTTTGTTTTGACTCTGCATTCTTTACATTCATACAAATTAATGGCTGTCAGTTTTAATTATTGGTTTTGTTTATATATTATAAATGCATTATTCAGCATCTGAGACCACTCAAGTGAAAATAATTACATAGTTTTTGCAGTTTGTCATATTTTCTCATTTTTGTGTGATTGATTTCTATATTTTTTCTCATTTATGATTATTTATATTTTAGTGTTTGAATTTTTGAGGCTTGTACTCAGCTTCTAAACAATTACCTCCCCCCTCCACATGTATAACCAGGATCCTGTAAAAGAAGTTTTGATTTTGAAGGATGGATGGATAATTAAAAATGCAAGATTTTTTTAATGTGCTAGTTCATAATGTAAAAGTCTGCACAAGACATCTAACCCTACCTGAACACATTATTCTGACTTCCAGCAGACCAGTCTTTGCTCCTACTAATTGCTGAATGCTTAGCAGGGGAGCATCAAATACCAATTTTCAATTCTTTGATATGACCCAGGGCAGGACCAAATCCCATGCCCATCTGCACTTATGTTGAGCATAAAAAGGTTATTAAAGAAGATTTGTCTTTCTGTTTGTCCATCATCATCTCTCATCCACAGCTTATAAACTATTGGAAGGTTTTCATTTAAACTTTCAGATTATCTTCTGTATCTAATGGCTGTGTTTATTTTATTTTATTATAATGAAATTTTGGGGTTCTCAATTGTAATGTATGGACCTCCTAAGTATTTGAAAAAAAGGGAAAGAAGCTTCTCATACCACTATTTTATCATGTGAAGGATAGTTTGGTTCAAATATATTTGTTTTTAATCATGTTTTTAGTAGTTGGATCTCATTATGACAAAATTTTAATGACTTAAATTCAAAAATAAATTTGGGGTTCACACTGATATATATTACCACTGTAGCTTTAATGTAAATTTTACAAGGCTTTGCTATAACAAAATTTGTGTTTTATCTTGTTTTATCTGATTTTAGTGGTTTTTATGTGATTTTATTTGTTTTTACTGTCAAATCTTGTTATACCAAGCCTTAGTATGACTGATTTTATATATTTTGTTTATACATGCAATTCAAAATATAAATTTACATAATGAGATCAGACATTTATTATGCTTTTAACTCTTCTTAGTGGATAAAATAGAAAAATGAATGAACATAAATATTGAAGTGGTCGTTGAAGATTGACCAAATTACAAGATTTATAAATGCAGAATCTTCCTCTAACTAAATCTATGTTCTTATCAGCTGAACCAACCTATCCTTCAATATGAGTAATAAAATTTTATAAATGGAAAAGTCCATTCTTCGATTGGGGAACCTTTAGATGTGAAAAAAATATACACAAATGCCAACAGATACTGAAGATTATTTGAAAGTTTAGGCAAAAACAAATTAATCCTTTAATTGTGATTGGAAGTTGTAGACGGATGAGCAAACAGATGATATACTTGCTTACTATGGCACATTTCCTAAAGGATATGGACTATGAGTATAGGTTTTGCTCATGGTTGAAGGCTGTAGGTGACTGATAGTTGTTAAATTCTATGTCATTTGGTCTCTGGTGGAGAGGTGTCTCGTTGGCAATCATATCTCCTCTTTTTATTTTATATGAAATAATTACTTATTACTTCCTGGGCAAAAAGTTCTGGTTCCAAGAAAATAATTTAAAAAAATACTTATATCATACATGTATTGTTAAATAACTAT